CCAGCTACAGCTCTGCCTGCTTCTTTCCCCTCCGATTAATATCACTTATTGTCTATGTGGATTTTTAAGCTGCCAACAGATCCCAGCTCGGGGGCGAGGGTGCAAGCCTGAAGTTTATGGTAATTTGCCTGTGAGATTATGGTTAGGTATACTGTAGAGCTCATCATACAAAGTCATCTTAGCAGTAATGAATCTGCAATCAAAGTGACAGAAATGCAATGCAGATGAAATCACCAGGCACAAGATTTAACGCAAAGGGTGATGGAGGAAAGATCAGCCTTATGGGGTTTGGGAGATGGGTTGTAATAGTCCTAGCAGTGGAGAAGAGGCATGTTCTATTCTGAGGACCAGGCAGTTCAATGCCTGTTGCATTTGCTGTACTAGAAGATGTCTCTGTTGGAAAAACAGTGTAAAATAAACTGGAATATGAACCAGCAGGAGCTGCCTATTAACTCTTTCTAGGATTATAAGAAATTAGGTTTGGGAGAGATACACTTCTTTTACATCTTGGCTTAATCACACTAACCAGCTGTTTGCCATTGACTCAGGCAGTGGAATCTAATGTAAAAAAAATACTTCCATATACAGAAAAGCTAGAGTTGGTTTGACAGTGGACTAAGCTTTCTCATGCTAAGCATAATTTTGCCTCAGTAATCTGCCTTCTTAGCTCCATTGTAAGGAGTGGAGCTGGGCAGACCTCTCCAGAGGACACCATACTCCCAACTTAAGTTTCCCAAAGCAATGCTTACAGGTGCTTCTCTGTTTTCATTGGCTGCAGTGGTGGAAGAACACTCTTACATGCTCACATCAGTAATTAGTGTGGCTTAGCTAATGCATTGATATAATTTTAAAGCTCACTTTGCTGTAAATTCCCAGCAAAGCAGCTTGCAGAGGTGGTTGTGTCTTCCACCGACCCGGATGTTTCTTGACTGAACGTCTGTCTCTCCTCTTCCTATTCATCCCCATTAATTGCTGATTTACTCCCATTTTAAGGCATAGAACGAGTGCCACTCAGAAGACAAAAAGCTGACATTTCAATTCCTTGCGAAGTCACTAGAAGGAGACTTACAGGACATGACTCACTGCACCCTTATCTGCGATCTGGTAGATGAACTATTCCCTGAAAGAGCTACTTTCTGTCCCCTGGCTACACATGGGGTCCACATGTCCAGATCGGTGGAAAAGTTGGTGCTGCAGACAGCTGAAGTGAGATGAATCCCAGGCAGGGAGGCTGGGCTGGGCACTTGGACTGCAAATGTGGAATTGGAAGAGGGAGCATTAGGAAACAGGGAGAGTGTTACCTAAGGTAGAGAGAGGGAAAAAACTAGCCCGAGCACAGTACTTTGCTTAGAAAATGTACACAGTGGAGAACGGCGAATGTTTGTTTTTCTTATTCTGTTGTTTCTGGGTGTTTATAACCTTCTTGGTTCTGTGGTAAAGCCACAGAGCTCAAACTCTTTATAGGCAACCGCTGCACATGGTATGGGAGCAGAACATAGTGTCTAGTTTTGAGAATATCATACGTGAAAGCCTTGTTTTGGTGTGTGACATTCGGGTTTTGAATAGGTTTGGCTACATTTTCGCTTAAATCTGTGACTTCAGTAACACCTACATCTTCAGTAAAGGGAAAAAAAACATTGCTGAGAGAGAAAATTGACTTTTGAAACAGCAACACCTACATCTTCAGTAAAGGGAAAAAAAAACATTGCTGAGAAAGAAAATCGACTTTTGAAACAGCCGCAGAAATTCAGATCCTTTCCTTTGGCTAGACCTCTCTCAGCCTTGCCTTTTGTTGGGTTGGAAGGGCAGTAGAGACTATCCCCCCTGAAAATAACAGAACTGGATCACAAGCATGTGACCCAGTCTTGGGTGACAGTAAAAAAAAGGTCTGGTGGGATTCTTTTGATTTCAAATGTGGCTTTTGAGTTGTGGCCTTAGCATGGTCACTGAGCTTTTTGCTGGAGCTCTCAAGAGTGAGATGGAAATTATTTGTTGATCAATTTTATGACCTTGTAATGCATGAAACATTTTTCCATATGAAGTGGGCTGTATGTTCTTTGTCTGGGGGCTTGCACTTTACAAATTAAGAACATAAAGAAAAACCAGCAGATGACAGAGTGCTGCTTCCCTGACAGGGTTGAAGAACAGGGAGTCAAGTGAAGGAAGTCATGGAAGGACTTTGGAAATGTGAGTTTTGGAGAAGCACTGGAGAAGATGGAGCAAGGGCTCAGTAAGCCAAGATTCAGGACCAGGGTCAGGAGATGGAAACTATGGGTAGAAAACATCCTAAAGCCAGGTTTTGAAGACACAATTAATGCAAAAGGAAAAACAGGAGAGACAAAGCTGAACATTGAGGAAGAAAGCAGGGAGACCAAAATTACAAGACTATGAAGGCAATAGGTAGTGACTTTCTAGGAGTAGCTAAAGACTGGAGGTTTTGCTGTGCTAAAAGGGAAAGACATAACACCTCATATCTGATGAGGTGGGGAGAAGACTTCTCCATCTGGCAGAAGCATATACTGCAGGATCTGTGTCTGTAACATCTGCTTTTCCTCAGCAGGATCACAATTTTAGCAATTTATTTTTTTGACTGTGTCTGTATGTTGGGCATTTTGCTGCTGGGGCCACTGTAGCTGGAAGGCTTCTAGAAGTATTCGCTCTCTGGTTGACCTTACAAAAAACATTTGTATATGTTTGACAACTTTAATTTATTCTGCATTGCATTGCAAATCCATGGGAGCGGGCACTAATATGCAAGTATAATGGGAAAGAAATTCCTCTCATGTAAATGACTGAGATCTGGTACCCATCTTGTGTGAATGAAATTCAGTTGAATGAAATTCTTTCTTTTGTGAGTTTTAATCCTTTCCAGGTTTAACTTGCAAATCTATTCAGTGTATTCCTGTAAGACGAATAGCAAGAGGGAAAGGTCATAGGAGCACTGACCAGCTTTTATCTTGTATTTGACCCTCACCTAGCATTCTTCAACCCTCCTCCATGCCTGCAGCTTTTAGGCACTGCTGCTGTGCAGAGTCAATGAGATAAATGTGATGCTGTCCCTGAGAAAATAAACATTTCTCTTATCCTCTTCAGCACTAATGCATAGTTTAATTTTTACTAAATGAATGATCATCCCATGCCTTAGTTTCCCCAGATATATACCAGAGGACTTTGCCCTCTGAAAGCACTTTGAGATCCATCTGTGAAACGGTCCCACAAAACAAAGGAGTTTCATTTCTTTATTCCCCTAACTCTGTTTATTCCAGACAGTGCGTTTTGTGAGAAACCCTCTTGCAAACAATGTCTATGGCAGGATCTATTTACAAAGCTGGACTTGCAGTGCTGAGATGAGCTGAAAAGACTATGGCAAAATAATATGAATAGCATCGTATGAAATGAGACAGTTGATTTTTGACCAGTTTGACCTAGCCTCTTTCCCTTTTCTTTGTTTCTGTCTGTTCCCAGGTCTCCTTGTTGATCCTCCTAAGGGATTCAAAACCCATAGGTCTTACAGCCACAATCCTGCACCTATCTCTACAATAAAAAACCCTAATTTGCTAAAAGCTGGTGTTTCTACCCTAGCGTATTATTTGCAGGAAGAAATTAAAAAAAAAAAAATGTATATTATGTTTAAACACTGGGAGAGACATTGAAAGTAAAGACAGGAAGCTGAGGGAAGAAGTGCTTAGTGATACAGCCAAGAATGCAAGGCTATGCATTTATTAATTCACCAGAGAATTAAATCACATCAAATAGCACAAAACGCAACTGCTCTAACACCCCTCACTTTTTTCCAAAAACCAGAAAGATTTCTGATAAATGAAACTTGCCAGCAAGAAACCTCACGGCACGTCCCGGGCACAGTAATAGAGAAAGTGTGATACAGGGGACCTGACTCATCCCCAAACCCATCCTATTTACATATCTCTGGCTGAACAGCTCGCAGCCACGCTCTCGCACGCAGCACTTAAACGCTTGCCGTGGGCACTGGCACTTCATTTGGCAATGAAAATGCCCCGTGAAGGAAAAGGTATACAGTGTTTGCTGGAAAATCCTTTCAGGAGAATAAAATCACCTGGGGGTTAAACATTTGTGAAGGTTACTTCCTGCATTAATGAGTTCCGTTCTAAGCAGCACAGTTTTCCCTCGAGATGCCCTGCCCCTAGTAAAATTCACAGCCCTGCTAGAGATGATCCATTAGCAGTTACAGCACCATTGTATCTGAGAGCCTGCCTTAGGCTGCATCTGCTCATACCTCTCAACCTGGACATCATCAGAAGATATCACAGAAGGAAATATCACATTTATGGAGCACTGAAAATGTGAGGGTTTTGGTTGGTTTTTTTTTTCCCTGTGAACAAAGCAGTTTAAATTGAAATATGCTAACACATTATCAGACCATTTCTCAATGCACACACTTGTCACAATAAATAAGCCAGTAAATATAAGCAGTATCACAATTTATAAATGTGTAAAATTATGCTGAATGAATTAGCTGCCTCTGTTCACAGTTTATAGGCACTACTGGTTGGGAGACGTGGCTGAAAGAATACGTGGTGTCTATAGTACCCATAGCAAATTTGGATGGCACCTTTTAACTAACAGCCTTGCTATCAATTTTACCTACAGAGTTACTGACATTTCAGTGTCTATTTTTATATTTCCTAAATTTACATGCAAAATGGAAAAAAAAAAAAAAATTCAAAGAGCTACCTAAGGTGCACAAGGCTGCTTTGATCTGCCCACTGTGCCAGCGATGGGTTGGAGGATACATGCATTACTCAGACAAAAAATATCCTGTGATGCTCTGGATTGTCTGTAGCTGATGGTTTGTGGGCACAAAACCTATTTCTTTCATTTCCTTAGAATCACAAATTCCTTAAGATCTTAACAACTTTCCTTACCTGAGAGGAGTCAGGATGTTGTGAACATCCTCCAGCGGCCACCGCAAGAAAGCAAATCGTATTTTCCCGCCCCAAAACCCAGAAATAGTCTTTTACCTGGCTTGTTCCCCTTGACAGATCCCAACAAGAGCCACATCAAAAGGCACTTGAGCTCCATGGGACTTCTTCACATCTTATTTCCACAACGCTGAGGATGGTGAAGTTTCTCAGAAGCGACGGGCTGGTGGCGACCAAGCCAAGCAGAGGTCTGCTGCCTGGTGAGGCTGGTGGGGAGTATCACCCCGAGGACGTGGCAAGGGCTTTGGTCAGCAAATCATCGTTTCACTGGCTGGCTCCGCGCGAGAGAATAAAGGCTGCTTTTATCCAGGAAATCAAACTTAATGCTCAGTGTGGCGGAGCGTGCCGTCGTGTGTAGGAAGTGGTTTGACACATCAGAGCTACTGACTCCAGAGCTGTTCCACTACAGCTGAGGTCAGTACAACGGGGCGAGATTTTAACGGGTTTGTGCAGCCGTGAAATCTGTGGCTGGACAGGCCTTCGAGAAGGACCATCACTGTGGGATGGTCCTTTGTCTGGTGCATAACGATGGACCTCAGGCACCATCTGGGGGCTCTGCCTACACAGAAAAGATGCCACTTGGTATCATTTTGGCTTTCTGAAGGCATTCTGCTAGTGATCATAAAGCCACACTCTGTTTGTTTTTTGATGTATGCATGCCTGCAGTTTCTCCGAGTGACAGATGAGATTCTGAGGGATGGACAGTTTGATTAAAAAAAAAAAAAAAAACTGTGAGGATAAGGCTGGTAGGTTTGGAAAAGCTTTCTCTTGGTCCTAAATTGTCTGGGTTCGCCATGCTCCAGTGAAATTTGGTCTTCCAAATGTCAGTGGAAAACCGGAAATGATCAGGGAAGTATCACACTTTATGTAGTGTTTCTACAGCCATTTCCACAGAAATTACTCTGGTGAATTAGTTGGAATAGATTATGGAAAAACAGATTTAAACTGTCTGTGGTATTCTATCATGCTTATTATGTGCTAGACATTTACTTTTCCTTTATAAATCCTTAATGAATGAAATCTTCCCAACAGGCATGCTAAGGAATAGATGTGATATGTTTTTAAGTGGTGCTACGGCTGCATCCATCAGTCGTAGCCAAAGACACAGAGGATGCTGTTAGTGCCTCTGCTCCTCGCTATCAGAGACTCTCCTGTCCCACATCCACAAGGGTGATGGTCCTGTGACAAGGGAGCTTCTTTTGAGTGTGATCCAAACCAGACCTTTTTGCAGGGGGTGAATGAAGATGTCGTATCTATGGGAGACTGCACAAATGTGCATCTTCTCCCTCAGCATGTAGAAAGGTGCAAACAAGACTTTAGTAATTGCTAACGAGAGCAGCAGACAGAAGGGATGCTACAGCCCCTACTATCTCTCTCTCTCTCCTGGTAAATCTCCCTTTGTCCCTTCCATGAAAGCTTTTGTGCAGCTTCACTGATGTAGGTCCTCTTGGAGGGTCTGTTGGCATCAAGGCTTTGGCCAGGAGATCACTGCCCAAACCCAAATGCAACAGGGCACAGAGAACAAGTAAGATTTCTCGAGAAACTGTTGTGGATAAAATGCCTTGCTCACCCAGGGGCTGCTCCGTGCTCCATAGATAAATACTGCCTTTGCTTTAGTACCAAATCATCTTCTGTGTTTAACAGGATACTAGGAAACACTCATGCCAAAGTGCACTGAAGGACTTGGAGAGATTTGCTCTTGAAACATCTGTTTCAAAATCATAGAGCCCAATTCTTCACCTTTTCCAAGATACTTGCAACTGCATATGCAGAACAGCAACCATGTGGGTTGATACCTGCAACTGCGTATGCAGAACAGCAACTATCTGGGTTGATAAAATGTATTTGCTACATTGCACAGCAAGAAATCCCAGACTGTTTATCACAATTTGTCCTTCCCCTACTAAACATGTGGTCTGTTCTTGGGA